AGGTCGGCCCTGGCCTCGATGAGCCGCTGCACCACCTCCCAATGGCCATTTTCAGCCGCAATGTTGAGGGGCGTCGCGCCTCGGGGCGGATCAATCCGGTCAGGACGCGGGGAGTGGAGCATTAGCCGCGGCAAGACAGAAGGGGAAATTCTGAGGGCTTTGCGCTTGTTTGTTTAATTTGGAAATTACCTTCAAGGCCTCTTGTTCAAATGTGTTGTTCTTTGTCTTGATTCAACAAAATATCCCGATCGCTCCTTGTCGCTTTCGGACAACTGCTAGAACCAGTCCATACCAGTGGCATAGAATCAATCAAAGCTGCACAAAACCCATCCAGTTGCTTCATTATATAGTGTTTCGTTCATCGACTCATCTAATCTCGCACTCTCTTCTTGGCCCTAATCCACCACCCAGATCGTATCAGAATCTTCGATCCTCCAAATCTGTTTTGATTGGGTAGGGTGTCAAGTGTCAAATCCCTTTGGCACGTTTCATCGACGTTCTCCGGTCACCCTGAGACTTGTTGGGGCCCTGGCGCCAGTCATCCCTCGCCTCGACGGCCGCGCGGGCGGCCACGAGCCGGTCCACCACGGCGAGGTGGCCCTCCCGCACGGCCAAATGCAGCGGTGTCTGCCGACCTCGGCCGTGCGGAGTCAAAGGCGTTTCTCTCGAGGAAGGTCAATGAGCAAGTCACCATATCTGTGTTTGGATGGAAGGACAAACAGAAAAAGGATGGAGCTCAGTTAAGTGGATTCTTCCTTCGATTTCCTGTGTCTTTATCTTGCTTGTTTCCTGATCTGCTCGCTTTGCAGCAATGCACGGATCAAGGCCCTGCATGAAGAAGCAACATGTGTCTGTACCCCTGTGGCGTTCATATCCGCTTAACTAGACTTAGAGGGGGCTAGCTAAGCTCAATATGTTGTCGCATTCATCTAAAACATCTCCAATCTTCCAAAAGATGTCCATACCTGTCCTGACACGCGGTCGTTCTGGCTCGCGGAGCTCCGGGACTCCGGCGGTTGTCTTCGGCCTCGATGTCAAGACCTGCTTCCAGCAGGCGCTCCACCTCATCGATTTCTCCTTTGAGGGCAGCGCGGTGCAGCGCAGACCGGCCTCAGGCGATCTGAATTTTCAACAGGATTGCCCTGCATGTCCATCTCAACTTTGGGGTGAGTCAGGATCTCTGAAGGTTATGGCCTGAAGGACCTGAAAGACTTGCGACTCTAGATCTCTCAAGACCTGATGCCCAGCCAGCCCGTTCAACACAAGTCTAAAAAGCAAGTTCTCAGTTCCCTCACCTTCTTCATCGATCTCTGCACCTTGGCAGCTGCGTCAGAAGTAAATGGACCCAACCGGTCTTGCACATGTGCTTCATGGAGAGTGGCGAGAGCTCAAACGCTTGAATCAGCCTTCCCACGCCAACATCTCAAGTTCTGTGCTTTCTGCGAAGTGGCTTGACCAAAAGAACAATCTCTTCAGCCGCCATCAGCAGCAAAAGTTGGAAGATCGAAGAAATGTACTGAAGCAGTTTATTGACAATCCAGCAAAAACATCCAAAAACAACGTTTCTCTCTGACTGACAGTCGGCCACAGGAACATCCAAGAGCTCCACCTTTCTGGGCTGCAGCTCCACAGGCCTACAAGGTTTGGGTCTGAGTGCAATCACATTTCACCCTTTTGCACCAGCGACATCCAGCAACTGCAACATTGCTGTGCTTCACACACGTCTCTCTTGGTCTTGGTTCTGACGTCATGTTGAAGCCCTTCGTAGTCAGTATAGATACATCGCTTTGGAGACGGCCTTGACCACCTTCCTCAAGACCTCACTGGGCTCGGCAGCGGTATCGCTCAGGACCTGCTCAAGAAGACTGCACTCTCAAGGGTAAAGCGTTGCATCTAGAAGTCACGGGTTATAGTGGATTGGTGGTCTGTGCACCTACTCGTTGATCTCGTTGTAAAGTGTCCACATTCAAAACCAGTCGTTGTTTATCCCAGCTTTGGGAGATTCTCAGATACTGCCTAAGATCAACCATATTGGCAGGGGATAGCAGGGGTATTTTGGCCTAAAATAATGAAGGGGTCATTTAATATCGAAATTGCAAAGACTAAGTTCTTGTTGAATCTTGGACTCAAAGAGATTAGATGAAACTAAACTCAATGCCCTTTGAGCTTGACGGTTGCAGGGCAGAAATGAAAGCAATTCTGCCTGAGACTTTGAACATCCAGGACCCCAAGTTTGGAAAACGGTTTCACTCGCCTGTGGGCAACAATCTGAGATGCCCCTGTTGAAAGTCCGCAACCAGGATAGGAAGCACGAGAGAACAGCAAAGACCACAACCCATTGAATCGTGAAGGAACAATGTCACTGATTTCAGGGCAGCTGCTTCAAGCCTTGCAATTCGTCGTGCCACAACAACGACCACTACTCTCCTCGTGGGCACTTGACCATGCCTGCATCATGGTGTCCAGGCTCCTTGGGCAGTCGACCCTTTTTTCCGAAGCAGCAACAATGCGAGCACAAGTCTCGTGTAAACATGCATATACTAGAGACAGAAACCTTAACTGTGCCGACAACCTCATGGTTGGGGCTAGTCAAGCACCCGTGCTTTTCAGTTTGCGGCATCGGTTTCTGCTTGTCTGCATCAATCATTGTAGCTTCGAGTGCTAGGAGGATTGCTTGATGTCCATCCAAGTATATAGATCCGTTGAACAGTATAGCAAACAAGACTGCATGATGAAATGATGAAGTGTCCTCCCAATCTTTCTGTATGAACCCAATGGATGCTACTTACTCATCAACACTGGCCATTGCCATTTTGGGATGTGGTATATGCGGCAACCTGAAACAATTTTTAATGTGAGTCCCGTTCCACCCTGATGCCATTCACTGCCCAGTAGCATGCCCAACCACTCCGGATCTTTCTGGATGGCATGAATCAGGAAGGCAACTGCATGCAGAACTTGGCTCTGAGGCCTGCAGAGAGGATGGTGGAACTCGCAGTTTTACTCCAGCCTGCCGCAATCATATGTTGAGGGACAGGCTGCCCAAAGTCATAAAAAGACTTGAGTGGGAGGGGGTGGACGAAAGGTAGGTCATTAAGTTCAACTTTCAAAGAGGTGAGAGAAAAGAGAGGAGAGAGAGAGAGAGAGGCAGAGATCCGTGGAATTTGAAGAGCAGCAGCAGCAGCAGCAGTAGCCAAATGACGAGCCAAATGACGAGGAGGGAGGAGAAGCTCGATACGAATCCAATCACACGAAGCCACGGTGCCAGTACAATTGAAGGAAAATTCACCCGTCCCAGGGTGGAGTTGATCCACTAGCTTTAACGGCGTGTGGCAGGATCCTGCCCTGTAGCTAAAGCTAATTGAACTCAGGTAACTGAAGCTACCTTTCGTGATCAGTAGAGAACAACTGGCCTCTAAGCCTAAGCCAGAAAGGAATTCTGGAGAACGGAAGCAAGCTTGTCATATGGGCATCAACTGGTCTCACAACACACAGTGTTGGCACAGAAAAGTCCACCCACAAGAACAGTTACAGTTACAATATCACTCTCACACAACCGTGCAACCTAATTTCTGCCATAAGCCCCTCCAGTGTGTTTGCGGCAATGCGTTTGCAGACCTTGGCAACAAGTAAGCAACCTCCTTGTTTATGACTTAACATGTTCAAGGACGCCTGCGATCTGCAAAGGTCTTCAATCGCTCCAATAGCTCGGGCTTCTCCCAATACAATGTCGGCCAGTGGAGGCTCTGCACAAAGTGCAGATCAACGTTGCAGTGAGGGTTCAACCTCAGAATGGGTGGCTACGACTTCTGCAACCGAAACACATCAAACCTGTTTCACCTATGTAGAGTGATCTTCCTTTACACAATGATCTATCTGGGTCCTCCAATCGCCAAGCCCTCTTGCTATTCATGACACACACCTTTGGGCCCTGGCACCTGTTGTTTTAAGGTTTTTCTGCTTGAGTGCACGATGTATGCCGGTATGCAATTTGCTTTTCTAATCAGGGTATGCCAAGCGATTTCGGCAACTTGACATGGTTGTTGACGACTGATGCTCGCTGCAGCGGCTGCGCAGGTGGATGCGTTTGGGAGGAGCAAGACTAATGCCCTGTTCATGTGCAGATAGGTTAAATTTCTGGAAATCTCGAAAAAGCCAAACGAAACATGATAAAGCTATTTGTTGCCTGGCCCTTTACAGAATTCATGATGGCTGAGCATGTCACCTTCTCATCACGCAGGGAAATGGAAACACGAGGAGCGACTTGGGTGTTATCGGGAGACGGTCAAACTTTTGCAAAGGGTCCAACTCAAGCTGCTTACCTTGCAGGCCACTTGTACAATCACATTGCTCCTATACTCCTATATTAGGAGACACCTCCGTCCCCTTAAGGTCAAGCAAGGGGGGAAAGCAACAAGAAAACACTGAAAATGTTCGGTCGCCCATGCGAGGCACCAGTCATGGTCTTCCACATCTCTGTAGTTGTTGACTACACGCACCTGCCATTGTGCAGCCTCTTCGCCATTTCTCTGGATGAGCTGCCTTGCAAGGTCCTTGAAGAAGGAGCCTCTCAGCAGCACCAAGCTTGGAACATGGATTTCTGCACGTAGACCTTCCACCAGGTTCACCACGTTCTGAAATCCTGGTGCTACAAAATCTGGCACCTGCCATGGAGCTTCAGCGCATGCCCACCCCAAAGAGGAGGACCTCTTTTGGTCGACGAACTCTTCAAGGACCAACTTCAATCCATCCTCATTCAACTTCACCGGAGAAACCACAATCGCCCAGAAGCTGCCTTCACTCACATACAAACGCATCTGCTTGCGAATCACCTTCAATTCACTCCTGCGGAGACCTCATCCAGGTTCTGATACCAGCACAGGAATAAACACACTAAGCCACGGTCCCAAAGAGAAAGGGCAAACCATGGAGAACACTTGTATCACTTATAAGTCTCAACTTTTGAGTCTTGGTAAAACTGACGCGTCCAAGCCGACAAGGACCTGCACTGGAATCCAAGGCTCTTCTATGAAAAGATAAAACTCTGTCCAACACTGCACCAGTGGCACCCACTGAAAAATATGTTCAAAAAATGTTTTTTTGGAGCTGCGAGTCTTCCGTGCATCTATCAAGGCGATCACCCTCAAGGGGATGCACCAAGGAGCCATAGCTAAGTGCTAAGTACCTTGTATCTTCCCTCATACACCCCATCCCCTCTTGATATCATTGTATGTCTTTGCATACCGTCTGCACGTGGTCTTCAATGTTGGATCGAAGACTATGGGTATTCCACCAAGGGACACAATTCCTCACACCGATCCTTTAGCTTTTTCTGGAGATCAGCACCAGCCTCCTCAATGTCGCCCAACGCTCCTTAGTACTCACACGAGCATGCCGCGTGTCCTTGCCATAAAGTAGTCTAACCAAAGGGATTCAATTGTGGTCTCTGATCAATTTCGGCATAGGCTTAGCAACAGTGGCACAGGCTTTACGAGAAGGCATCTAGCTTATAATGAGATGCAAGCAAAGTTTCAATCTAATTTAACAACCTATTGCCAGAAAGACTCGCTCACAAACAAAATAGTAGGTGTTCAGGCCGTTCACGCAGTGTTGGGCATCTTTTTCCTTACATACCGGCACTTTGGCTTCATACTTCTTGACTGTAAAGTAGGATCCCAATTCTTGCCTTGCATTGCATGACCAAGTAAAGAAAGAAAGTATATAAGAAAAACTTCTTGCTTGGAAGGACAAAAGTAGTTTACCCAAACAAGTCAATCAAAAGCTGGGCTATGAATCAATCACGAAGGTGCAGCATCCTCAAGAAGGTGTCGGAAGGAAATGGTTCATCCTCGTCAAGGGCAGGTGCTATCAATCTCTCACGTCACGTGCCCGTGCTTTCAGTGTACGACCGAACTGGTGTCAGCCATTTGCAGCAGTGGTGTCGATAAGGACTAAGTTTTTTAAACATGCAACCCAGCTCTTGTGCTGGGCTTGCAGTGGCTGGTATTCGATTCAACCACTTGCATTGGCCACTTACTCATTCAGAAAGGGGAAAAAAACTATAAACCCTCATAGACAGAAGGGCAGCATGGTAGCCTACAAATAGCATTTCGTCTGGCACACATGTTCTGGACATTGAAAACGAGCTGGCTCAGCAACATGTGTGGGTTGGCTGGAATTGCTTCTGGTTTGCAAAAGCTATGCGTTTGTAGGTGCCTGCTCCACCCAAAAGACATGCACAAGATGTTCGAGAAACTTATGCTACTTGCAAATTCCCTCAGGTACTCTAGGAGGAGGACTTTCTCAGCAAAGACTTGATCGATCTATCTTGGAGCCGGTCATGCCGTACTCAAATAGTGAACAGGACATCAAAGATTTCCCAGTGCTCCGGCCTTTCTCTTCAGGTCACGCAACTCTTCGCGCAACTCTTCAATTGCATTATATTGGTCTGCATAGCTCTTTACAATGTTCTTGTTGAAGAGGATCGTCACACCCCTCACGTCTTTCTGCCAACATGTCCGGAGATCTTCTGCCATGTCGGTCAAAGTCATTCTTTTACTCCAGCGAAGAGGGTTCATCTTGGCTGCCTTCTGCCCGAACACCGCGCACTTGGAGTCAGTCCAGCACCATCGGCCACTCCGAAACGCGTTTGGATCCTGGTGGCAGGGGACGCTGTCGACTGACAGTGATAGCCAGGCGCCCTAAAGAATAGCGCAAGTTGATGCAAGTTGGAGGTTGTTGCCGGTTGCTTCCAAGGGAATGGGTCAAGTCTCAAAACCTCGGTAATTAGGGCTTATGGGGACGAACATCTGTAAACTGTAAACAGAGGAGATTGGCTCACAACCACAAAGAGATCGCAAAGAGATAATTGAGATAATGATAGATAATGTAATAGTCATGACCAATTCAGTGTGGTCAAGCCTAAACTTCAGTGCCCACCAGGGTCACAAAACCCTTCAAAGGGCAACTACCTCTGAGATGCCTGACCGTCTCCCCCCACGTTCGAAAACCATTCTGATCGGTCAACAAAAAAGAGCCTCCTCGCACGCTTCTCGAACATTAGTCTCTTAGGGTTCGGCCATCAGTAGATTTCAAGGCTTCCTGCCGAGTCCGTCTCCCTTCCAAAAGCATCCTCAGTGACTCGGCTTTGCTTTTTCCAGGACCGCCTACCGCCAGCACGGGCAAAACCCTATGTTGACAATTCACTGACCCCTTTCCAGTCGACGCACTGACCAGTTTCCTGTCAATGCTTACAAGGGGATGGGTGGGCTGGCCAAAGCCCTCCTTTTTTGGTAGCAGGCCCTCATGTGGTCTTATTGAGTAGAAGTAAAAGTAGATACAAAGGATAAAGTTTCCACAATCCCATCCTTCAACCTCCTGACCGCATTGCCAACGATGCGGATCACCTCTTCTGGCAGATTCAGCTTACACCGCGGGTCATCAATGAGATGTTGAGCGTCGCAACCTTCGGGCTTCCAGTTGGTTGGGTGAACATAGCCTCGAGCACTTGAGGATGGAGCTTGATGGTCTGCCAAGACTTCGATGACTTCACACAGTGTGCGACAGCTGAGAAGAGGAATTTGATGTTCCAGTGGTTTAAAGTGAGAATCACAGTTGTTGAAGCTCTTGATGATCTTTACAGACTTGTCTAGGGCAGATTCATATTCATTGTAATTATGCTGCATAGAGTCTTCGTGGAGACCTTCAGACTCCTTTTCCTCCTCTTCTTCCTCATCTTCTTCCTCATCGTCTTCCTCATCTTCTTCCTCATCTTTTTCCTCATCTTCTTCCTCATCTGACTCGTTCATGAAGATCTCGTCATCAGCAAGAAAATGCAGGTAATCCGCTAGTGGCTGGGCCTGTCCTATCGCCTCCAGCCATTCACTGTCATAGAGGACCTCCTTTCTAGTCTGCTTCTGTGCTAGTTTGGTGTTCTGAAGTGGGTTCATGAGATTTCCAAGAACCTTCGGGGAGCGCAAATGACCGAAGGACAACAACCCAATGTCAGTTGTTAAGTTCCTCGTCAATTCATCTGAAGATCGTGGCTGGCATTCCATGTTGTAGCAAAAGGACAGGGCAAAAATGGAGGCATCGTACATGGATTGCCCAAGGTCGCAGGCATACATAAATTGATACCGCTGCTTCTTTAGCAACTGAACATTGTGGACATACTCGAACGGCTCCATCTTGAACGTGTACCTGTGCTCGTTGCTCGTCCTTCGGCTTGTAAAAGCATCATCTTGTGGCCGGCAGGTTGCCAGAACACACCAAAGCCTCAGGTGCTCCTTTTCCTCACTTGCCATGATACCAAACAAGGTATCTTCCAGCCAAAGGCCACGGATCGTTTCAACAATTCCTTCTTCTTGGTACTCGATTTCTCTTTTTGGCAAGAGAAAGGTCCCCTGGAACTTAGCTCTGGAGTCTCGCGTGTTCTCTGGAGTGCGTTTGGAGGCGAAGCACATTTGAAGCCCGGCATAACACATCGAACAAACGTAATCGTAATCCTTTGAAGCAGGTTCTTGTGAACGCCTGTTCATGATGCCCCGAAGACTCTCAGGGAGCGAGCCACCTGTCAGCCTGCCATAGCCATGACCAGAGTACCAAACGAAGAGCTGAGCATCTGCCGCCAAGTTGTGAATCACCTCCTTTAAAACCCTCTTGATTTCATCACCTGGGCCATGTGCAACTCCGGTAGTCCAACCCTGAAGTCAAAAAGGTTCATAGGTTTACTACACTCTGTAGCCGGGAGGTGTTGGGTATGCCGTCATCTAAGAGCCTATCCTAAAGTTCTATCGGTCATGCACCAGTCCCAAGTCGTGGAGCAGTCCGACGACCTGACCCGTAGGAATGGACCAAAAGTGGAATGGGCCAACCAAAACCCATCCCTCACATGGGTAGGAGAAGCAACTCACCATTCCCAAAAACAAACAGAGTCCTACGTGGTTTGCAGTTGCACAAAAATAGAAAGAAGTCTAGAGGACCATCCACGACTAGCAGGCACCTTTGACCCCCATGAACCCACGTCATCGAAACGATCTTTGCAACAGCAGCCACCCGTTTGATCAAGGACCATGCGCAAATCCTCCCTCCTGCAAAAGTTGCAGCGCAACAGCGCTTGGCCGACCAGCTGGGCATCGCGAACCGCATGCGCCAGGTCATCACCGTTGTTGGCGATCAACACTGCATGCCTCGAACGGAGTCGAGTCATTCACGGTTTCAGTAGACAACTGTGATACTGATGTGTGAGTCATGGGGGGGTTGAAAGGAGCATCTCCCGTCACCACGGCAATGATTGGTTGATTGGTGATGTTTGGCCAGGATTTTTGTAGAATGGGAAACCAGGTCTTGGCTCAAGCCGTTCAGTATCAACGCTTAGGTCAAGTGCGTGTGGATCATCCGCGACCAGAAAACCTGGTCGCATTTCGTCTATAGGCCCTAGGCCATATACATGGGATGGTCAAAGTTATTTGTTCGGCCCGAGAGGCTTTTACTATAGTTCATGCATAGCTTTAGGGAGTTCTCTCAAGTCCCCCCAATTGACTGCAAACTGCGATCTTATGGCTCTCCCATACAGCTATCTTCTTTTACCAAGCCTTACCTTCTGTTCGGGAGAAACCATGGTGAAAGATACGTATGCGCATGAGAAGAGTTGGTTTTGTTGACTCCTTTGATCCGAGCAAATCTGTTCAGGCAATACATATATATATATATATGCACAGCCCAATCGACTTGTGGGTTGGGCTGTGCGGCTACATGTGGGCACAGGTAGTCACTGGTGATAGGAAGGAGTGATATTGAGAGAGGAGAAGCAAAGTGAGGAAAACCTGGTGCAAACTCTGCGCATCGAAGGCCCCCAAAAACTGGAGAGCGCACTGGGCCAGCGTTGCATGGTTGTAGTCCCCCATGAAAGCCACAGCTTTTCAAAGGGCCAAAGGGCGTTGTTTGGCTGAAACACCTTTAATGTTTAAAACATATTCAAACGCGGAGTTCCATGCCTCGACGACCAATGAGAGGCACTTCTGCTCAACAAAAAACGCACTTCTGCTTTGTTCTTCCTTGTCCTGGGATGTTTTACTAGTTTTACTTGCGGAAGGCCCAAAGTGAATGGTTCGGCGCCAACCAGCCTGACATCACTCGAGCAAGAGTTGTTCTTCGTGAAGGTTCCAATTTCACAACCCATTTCCTGGTAGAATCCTGCAAAAAACACAGATGGTGTCACCTCACACAGTCGAATTTCCGAAGTTGTTTAGTTGTTGTACACCTGGGAAGATGGTCCACATGGAACCTGAAGTTGTACACCTTTGAAAGACTACTTTCCTCTACAACCCAGTGGTTTTCAGGTTCTATGTTAATCCTCCCGGGTGTAAAGTTCGTCGCATGATGATTGACCGTCTCACACTGGCCACGCGAGGCTTGGACTTCTTACTTCGACCGCGGCTGACCCACATGTCATATAGACGTTATAAGACCCAGTAAGAAGAAAAAACGGTATTCCTCCTGAAGTAGTGCTGGCAAACTGACAAGAAGTTCGTTGATTGCTTATAAAGAATTAACACTATCCGAGAACATCATGGAACATCTCAGCTGCATTTGTTGCTGAAATGACCCTAGTGTACTGGTGAACAAACATTCAGAACTGGGGGGGGGCACCACATTGTGAGCGCGGTGGAGAATTATCCTCCATCAATGTAAACATAGAATCTTTGAGTGTGAGAGAGAGAGAGAGGCAGATTGGAAGGGACTCAATTCTCCACCAAGGCAATCCTTCTCTTGGCGTTTCACTCAGATTCGCTCAGCCGCCCTCAACTCTTTACACATCAACAGCATGCTGGAAGCCATGCGGCAGGCAGGGCAGCCTAACCAAGCCTTCCCATCATCAACCGAGATGCCAAGTTGGCATGATGCTGAGGATGGGTTCGCTGGCAAGCAGTCCAAGGCCACTTCCATGGGCAACCTCTGAAAACGGGTTGTCTCTTGAACAGACTTGGTACACAGTAGGTCAGTAGGCTGTCACTATATATACTGAGCCTTCATGTACTTGGGTTCTATGAGTCGAGTGAAAAGGATCGAAGACGTCTTGCCAGGGAAAGCTGTTCTCCTGGCGACCGGACTTCTTCTTTACATGGTTTTGACTCTGAGCCGAGCATCCGGTCCACTTGTTTCACAAAAGCTTCCATGCAAGCTGAACAAGTTTGAACTGAGATAGATCTAACAAGAGGCTCTTACACAAAACCCTTTCTTGAATATCGACCTCCGGATTCTCCACTAGGAATGGATTGAAGAATTCGGTCTCCTCCAATACCATGTTCCTCTACCCTCGATACACTCAAACTGCGGAGTTTCTCCCGTCATTGGAAACACCAGCAGCATCCATTTTGGCTCAAAGCAAAAACAATCTGTGGGCATTGGGCCAAAGGCGGCTCCACACGATAGACACATTAGCGCTTCTCTAAGCAGCTGCCGATGTTACCCAAAGCCTGTGCTGCCGTCGCTCGTAAGATACCGGCTTCATCTGCCAGCGACTTGATCAGTTGAGGCACAGCTTGGGCAGCCGCAGGGCCCATCTGGCCCAAGGCCTCTGCAGCACTGCTGCGAAGTCTGCAAAGTTCAATGTCTGCGTCTGAGCCTTCTAATGCCTTCAGAAGCTGTGGTACAGCTTCAGCAGCCGCAGGGCCTATCTGTCCTAAGGCTCGTGCAACGTTGCACCGTACAACAAGATCTGGATCTTCAGGCAATGTTCTCAGCAGCGCTGGCACAGCCTCTGCGGCTGCCGGTCCAATCTGGCCCAAGGCCCATGCAGCATGGCTCCTCACGAGCCTGTCAGTGTCTCTCAGTACCTCCAGGAGGTGTGGCACCGCTTCAGCTGCAGCAGGGCCAATCTGCCCCAAGGCCGTTGCAGCCCTACTCCGTACACCGACGTCTGGGTCTTCCAGCGCCTTCAGAAGTTTTGGCACTACTTCAGCTGCTGCGGCACCCATTTTGCCCAGCAACTCTGCAGCCGCTCCGCGGCGAACAGCATTCTGTTCATCCTCCAGCGCTTTGAGCAGGTGCGAAACCACTGGGCCTCCCAGACCAGCTAGCTCATCGGCAGCCCGCCTCTGCACGAAGGTCTCTGGCTTCTGCAGTGCCTCCTGCAGCTGCGTCGAGGAGCTCATCTGACTCAAGGCCTCTGCAGCGGCCTGTCGGACGTTGAAATCCTCATCATCCAGTGCCTGGAGCAGCTGTGGGATTCCTTCAGCTGGACCCATCTGAACCAACGCTTGCACGGCACCAGAGCGCACTGCAGGGTGTCGGGCATCAAGAGCCTCCAAAAGCATGGGCACAGCGCGAGACGGCAAGGACCCGATTTGGCGCAAGGCCCCTAGCGCAGCGGAAAAGACATCCACACGGTAGTCATGCAAGGCCTCGAGCAACTTCGGTGCAGCTTCAGCGGCCACGGGGCCCATTTCCCCCAACGATTTGGCGGCACTGCAACGTACATCACCTTCGGGGTCACCAAGTGCTTTGCACAGGTGGGGAACAGCTTTGCTAGTTGCAGGTTTTATGCTTCCAAAGGCCTCAGCAGCATCCTTGCGCAAGGTGGTGCCTCGGTGTTCAAGAGCCTTGACCAGCCATGGCACATCTTCTGATCTGAACCCCCTAAAGGAAGTTTTGGTGGCAAGCAACTTGGCTAGAGGTTGAGATGGCAAGGCCGGCAAGGCATTCAAGCGGTCCAAGGCATATATAGTGCTCCGCTGCATTGAAGTAGATTCACTTGTAATGGCCTCTTCAAGCACTTTCAGCAGCTCTGGAACTGCTTCCGCAGAGCACATATTGCCCAAGGCCTCTGCTGCAGCGCAGCGCACAGGACAAGCCTCATCTCTGAGGGTCTTAACCACATGTGGCACAGCTTCTGCCGCTGCCGAGCGCATGTTGCCCAGGGCCCGTGCCACGGATGAACGGACTTCGTCTTCCTCGTTCTCAAGTGCCTTCAGCAACTGGGGCAGCGCTTCCACTGCCAAGTCCATCTTGCCCAAAGACTCCGCAGCACTGCGCCGGACTTCCCTGTCGCCATCTTCAAGTGCCTGAAGTAGATCCGGCACAGCTTCAGAAGCTACATCATTCATGTTGGCCAAAGCCTTCGCGGCACTACAACGAACAGCACTGTCATTGTCATGTAGTGCTTGGAGAAGCTTCGGCACAGCTTCAGCTGCTGCAGGGCCCATCTTGCCTAAGGTCTTCACGGCATTGCTACGAACACCAGTGTTTCCATCTTCAAGTGCCTTGAGCAGTGCTTGCACAATCTCATCTGTCGGCTCTGTCGCCTCCAAAGCTATTGCCGCGTTTCTACGGACCTCGCTGTCCGTCTCCTTTAGCGACTGGAGTAGCCTTGGGACAACCTGAGCTGGCAAAGGACCCAACTTGCTCAAAACAGCAGCAGTATTCACGAAGACATCAAGTTCATGGTGTTCAAACACCTTCAGAATCTTTGCTGCTCGATCAGGTTGATGCAAGCCCAAGATGCGTTGCAAATAACTTCTCATAGGACCAAAAAAGACCCTGTCGGATGCAGTAAGAAGCTGCAGTAAAGCTTCAGCTCCTGAATTGCTCATGTGACTGAGGACCTTTGCAACACTATGCCCAAAGACCTCAGGCTTGCTCAATGCACTTTGCACCTGTAGCACAACTTGAATTGCTGAAGAAGCTATTTCTCTCAAGCACACCTCAGCAGCAAGTTGGTCATGTGGGTTATTGTTGTGCATTTTCTCCAGCAGCCTTGGTACAGCTTCAAAGGCTGCAGGGCCCATCGCACTCAAGGCATCCCTGGCACTTTCGTACACATGAAATTTGGCGTCATCCAGTAGATTCAGCAACTTCGGTACGATCTCATGTTCGAAAAACTCGATCTTGCGCACCACCTCCACAAGGCGGGAGAAGGCTAAGTCATCGTATTCCGTTTCTTGAAGCGCCTCCAACAGCGGTGGCAACAATTCAACCTGCGCACGGCCCATGTGACCTAAAGCGTCTGCAACACGAACTCGGACAGGCCAGTCTCCGCCAAATACTACTCGCGTAAAGCCATCATCGCCCTTTCGTTTACGTGATTCACGTTCAGATTCGTCAACCTTCAGAAGCTTTAGGACTGGTTCAGCTGCTGCAAAGCCCATCTTCCCCAAAGCCTCAGAGGCATAGGACCGGCCATCACCACCGTGGTAGGCTTGTTCTTTAACTAATGCGTTCAGAAGCTCTGGCAGAGCTTCAAGAGCTGCAGAGCCCATCTGGCCTAAAGCCTTTCCAGCACAAGAGCGCACATCATGATCTCCATCCTGAAGCGCCTTCATCAGGTGTGGTACAGCTCCTTTGCAAAGGAGGCTTTCCAACGCTTGCAGGGTAGGAAGAGAAGCGGCTGATAGAGCAGAGTTCGATTCCTGGGAGAAGTCAACGAAAAGCAAAAAGAACAGTATTGATTGCGGCGAATGTAACACACGTTGGTTGGTAAGAGTCATCAGTCCCTTTAGTGACATGCATGCACTATCACCTGCATGGCTTAGGAATCGCAAGGGTAGATGTTTGTCATTAATTGTCAAGTCATTGTGTTTCGAAGATTCCAAGTCTGTCAGTCCCTGCTCAATTATCGTCAAAAAGATCCAGCGCACAAACGTGAACACAGAATCAAAGACGTATCCTTGTCCCCGGCCTTTCTGATCAAGTCCTGCAACTTGCCGACTGCTTCAAGTTGATCCCTATAGCTCTCTTCCGTCTCTTCAAAGAGAATCGTCACACCCCTCGGCTCCATAAGCAAATAGTTCCCCAGATCCTCTGCCAGCTCCTTCACGGTCATCCTGACGCTCCAGCGCAACGGGTTCATCCCCACCCGTTGCCCCAGCACTGCAAAGCTCGAGTGGCTCCAGCACCAGCGACCCGTCCCTCGTGCGGGCGCGGGCGCAGGCACTGGCGGCGTGGAGTCTGGAGAACGCGACCGGCCGAGCCTGTAGACCTCACGGCACGCGGACGAGGTCGTTGTTCTTGCGTGGCGGAGGGTGACTGCATGTAATGACTGTAAAGACCTGATCTAGCTCCGGAGGCCTAGCAAGAACATGTGAGAAATATATCGAACAGTGCATCGGTCGCAATATCTTGGAGAGGGCGTGCCTTGAGCAGGCATGTGATCGTATATCACCCTCTAGGTCCGTGCCGAAAACCACCTTCAAACATCGTTCTGTTCGGCACCTTACACAGTGGCTAAACTTCAACTATCAATGTCACAGTTGAAAGCCATAATGCCAACGATGCAAACACTACAAAACAAGAGGACAACTGAAATGAGGCATTTCTTCTGGTCATACGACGAGAAGATTGCCACACCTTCCATGTCCTTCCTACAAAGTTGCCTCCTTCTTGAACCTGTTGCATGGAGCCTTTTGGAACCTCAAGTATACGCTCTGCCCACTGCAACCAGGGTGAATCAAATCATGACCACTTCCTCCAAACAGCCTCCAGCACCAACTTCTTCAAGACGTCTTCAGGCTCCGCAGTGCTGCACAAAACCTACAAAGCAGGGAGCCCAACCCGGCACCACCCACCCGGTACCGGGGTGATCCGAAACGACCTCCATCCGCCGCAGAAAGCGGGTGGAGGTTTGGTGGAAACCACGTCTTCGTTTCGTTCGGAAACCACGACTCCAAGTGACGTGACTTATGAATGGGCGTCTAACAACACTTGAAGTCTGAGCCTCCTTAGCTGGATATTTGGCAAGATATTTGGCAACAGTAGAACAGCACACACCAGCAAGGTTCTAGAGTTTCTTGGCAACTTCTTGGAAGGCAGGAGTGATTGGTTTGACCAAAGCTTGGCTCCACCCGCCTGTATGATGGTGTCGATGCTCCTTGGCCAATAGATTGTCTTGCGGTGAACAGCACAGGATATTACAGGTTTGGCCACAAGAAATGCTCACACTGTTCTCACCCAACAAATCAAATTGCTAGGAAAACATGCATGCAGTTCACTCAGGAAACTCACAGCAAAAAGATCTTGGCTGAAAGCATCTAAAGGGGTTAAAGCAAACAAAGTATCCTTGTTGCAACAGCCGAGCCACAGTGCTAGCCGTGTTGGGTCATCTTGGATCGCGTGAAGCAGGCAGCCAAGTGTGCATAGCACTTGGCTCCGAGGCCTGTGCAACGGGGAGGTCTCAGTTGATTTTCAGGGTCAGCCTGGACCAAAAGAAGACGTCAGTCTGTCATTCCTAGCGGATTTAGTGCCCAGAAGTTGGGAATAGTTCTCAGGTCTTTCAGGTGACCTTTGTGTGAACACCCCACGACCTAAAAGAAAGGATGAAACTCACAGCCTGCTCGCTCTGTTCCGTAGAAGAAACAATATAGGTCTTCAAACAACAGCCCTGCTCCCAAAGTGGAGAAAATCTGCGATGTCCCTGCGATGCCCACATCTGGATGCTCTATATAGAGAATGATCGTGGGACATCAAAAAAAAACACAGGGATGTCTCAGAAGTAAGTCGTATGAAATGCTTAAACCCATTAGCCTATCATCAGGACAGGTCATCACTGTCCTGGAACCCTTTGGATAAACTACCTCCACTCATGAAGAGCAACAACCCTTTATCCAGACTGGGCCATACAGTAAGAAGCTTAAAGTAAACACTTCTGATTTAGTGGGGACTGACCACGGAAGCTGTCTGATTTGGCTCCTCAACACCTCTAATCTTACTGTTTTGGAGTAACTCTTGCGGCCTCAACCAGCTTGTCGACTCAAACAGCCAAGTCACCGAACCAACTCCTCGACCGACTCGGTCGCGCGCAGCCCTTCGGGCCCGGTCGACTCTGCAGCAGCGAAGCGAAGAAGATGCTCCAGTAGCTCTGGTTTCTTCCAGTGCGCCGTCACCCAGTTAAAGCATCTCACGACGTGGAAGTCCACTTTCTGCTGTGAGTTCAACCTGATTACAAGATACAAAGGAGGTCCATGAATCCAACAACTCGTGGGCTAGTGGCTAGCAGCTAGCTCATCGACAACAAAACAATCCCTTCACCACCCATAGGTGGAATTTGAAGATGCACAGAGGTTCCAGCATGCTCCAACTGTCAATAGAAAATAGACAAAAGCACAAGGACTTGAGCAGTGTGAGGCACCACTGGTCTTCGCCCACGTCTCTATAGTTGCTCACCACTCGCAGCTGCCAACCTTCTGTCGCCTCGCCCTGCTTCTTCATCAGCTGCATGGCCAAATCCTTGAAGAAGGACCCTTTCAAGGGCACCAAGCTGGGCACCTCCACCGCTCCTCCTAAACCTTCCACCAGGTCAATCAACTTCTCGAAGCCCGGCGCCGCAAAGTGCGGCACTTCGCGCGGCGCGTCGGCCGAAAGCCACCCGAAGCAGGAGCCCTTCCGTCGCCTCACGAAGTCCTCGAGGATCTGCAAGAGGCTTTGTGCCTTCAGCGGCTTGGGTGACACCACGATGACCCAAAAGCTGCTCTTTCCCACGTAGGTCCGGATCTGTTCCCGGATCACATCCAGGTCTTCGGGTACCATGCCTTCGGGGCGGCGAGCGATGACCACCCCAGTCTATGCGTGATCGTGGGCCGCATCGATCGAGCAAGGTAGAAGAACCGGTCTCGTCGATGCAAAAATAGGTCTCCCACAAAGAAGTAAAAGGGATGGAACTAGCATGACTAATTGAAGCAGGACAGGCCAAGAAACATATCTTCTCACACTGCTCCCTCAGCATCTCGTCCATTTCTTCAGCATCTTCTAAAGTCGGTGCTATTGCTCCTTGGCGTCGCACAAAGAAAATGGCTCACATGGGGCCGGTAGCCTTTCTTTGGAGGGAAACGTGGGGCACCGTGCCTCCCAAGTCTTCCAGTCTGAGACGCGCAAGAGTTCACTAGAAAAAGTGGTTGTCTTCATTTTCTAGGCAAAGCACCTGAGCTTTTGAAGAAGTATTTCTGCTGTGTTTGCTCAGAAATGTCCTCCAACTTATCCTGCTTAAGCTTCTTGATGGTGAAGTAGCCGCCCAGCATCTGCCTTGGCTTTTGAAACACTGCTAGATACAGCTTGGGGATCACGTTGGAAGGCCAAACGACCTTTGAGTAGAAGGAAAGTATGGGAGCATGGGAGATTCACAAATTCAAAAGGTCGTCTCTTGAACAAGGAAGGCTGCAACATGTCCAGGACTGTGTCAAACGGAAAATGATCGCGCTCCTGACAAGAGAGCTCCATGAGCGCAGAGAGCATGACCGCACAAGTCGAACAACTTGTAGTGCTAGTGCAGGCTTCAGTGAAGGGACACCCATGAAACCCAGAACCGCCCTTGAAAGCTTTGGATTTGACGAACCCAGATTTACATGCTCGTGCGGCATACTAGGAATGATGGATGAAGCAACTATAACTAAAATGATTGGCTGAACAAATCAGAACAACCCTCAAATACTCTGCCATGAACTTGACATCACGCCCCTCCCAGCAACTTGCATTTGAAGATTAAGCGGCAGAGCTTGCCTTGGTGCACGGATACATTGATACATATTCTACGGTGGTCTGCACCGGTGGGCAGACCCACCACATTGGGTCTGAAGCTCCATGCCAGGGCTGATGCTCCATGCCAGGAAAGAAGAGTCGTGTCTGGAAAATGGGAGTCTGTGAGGCCAATTTAATATGTACATCATCCGCTTTCAACCAAGATACTACCACTGCCTCTACCCCGTGGTCACCCCAAAAAAATCCCAAACCGTCCTCTTTGCTCTGCGCCATTGACAAAGCGTTGCTGATGGCGGCGACGACATCGTCTGGCAGATTCAGCACCACCCCAGGGTCTTGATTCAGCTCATACTCCTCGTCGCTCCTGTCCTCGTCGTTGGGCTTCCAGTCTGATGGGCGACTGGGATATCCCCCTGTGCTTGGGGACGCAGCTTGATGGTTTACCAAGACGTCCTTGACTTCTTCCAGGCTACGACAGCTGAGCAGCCAAATTTGATCTTTCAACCGTCCAAAGTCAGGAGCACACTCATTCAAGCTCTGAATGATGTCCCAAGCCAACAATCTGACATCTTCGTAAGACGCATCGTCATATATCTCACCATCAGCCAGCTGGTGCAAATAAATTGCCACCAGCTTTAAGGCGCTCACAGCACCAAGCATGTCTGGCGTATAATCAAGCATCTGTGCTTGAGTCTGCTCTTGCTCGATCTTGATACGGATGCTCCGAGGTTCGCCCACAATCTCCGGGGGGGCTGACTTCTCCGAAGGACAACAACTCCGAATCATCTTTCACGAGCTTCTGGAGCGCTTCCAAGTCCTGCGGCCGTCCAAGGCGCTCCAAGTTGTAGCAAAAGCACTTGGCAAAGATAGAATTGTCCCACATGTTTTGCCCGAAGGGCATGGAGTACAAGAAAGCAAATCTTGTGCGTTTCTGATCAGACACCAATTGCAAGTTGTTGGCATACTCGGGCTCCTCAAGCACGATCTTGCCGTGGTGACCGTCTTTCTTCCGCCCTCTTTCAAACTCTGCTTTGCTCCCACGGCAGGCTGCAACGACAGCCCACAGTCGAAGCTCGTGTCTGGCGAAAATGCCAAATAAGGTGTCTTCTAGCCACACGCAGCTGGCCTTGTCAACCACCTCGTTGTTTTCATCCAGGCTGTCTGCCTCCTCCACTTTCCTTGGCTCCCCAGATCTCCCAGGGTGCAAGAACGACCAAAAAGTAACTACTAGACACATGCTACTGGAGGCTGGAACGCTTCGCTTGATTTGCTAAGACTGCTAAGACAGATTGGCCAACTGCAGAAAGGATTCGGAACAATCAACGTCCCTTTGAAGCCTCCCGCGCCTTCCACGTCATGACCCAAGGCATGGCCCGAGTACCAAACGAAGAGATATCCACCTTTGGGCACCTGAACAAGTCGCTCCAAATCTGGGGTCAAGGGCCATGATACCATGATGAAGTTGTCATATAGTACTTGGATACTATAGGTACGTACCATACTTAACATGTTTTTGTTCATTAGCATGATATGAGGATGGGTCGTTCCACCTGGAGCCGACCGGTTTACCATGCAGCGAATCATTGACCATGCAATCAAAATACGTGCACGAAGAGCGAGCTTTGGTTGCCAAACCGTTTGGAGCAAAGAGCGAGTGTATAGACTCTTGGAACGTACGGGTGCAAACAGCTACCTTAAATACGCAACGTTGAACACCATGTCATCCATGTTTGGGTCGTTGTCCTTTTACATCTTCATTTGCACCTTCTTCACCTCCTTGCTTCTTTCTTTGCCGTCTTCTTCCGCTCTCTTGTTTCTTTGTACCTGTTTGATTTGGTGTGTGTTTTCCATTGTTTCCATTGCTTTTCATGTTCCGTCGCAGTTTGCGTTGGGTCTCTCGTCGCTGTGCTATTTGGAGGAGATTCTTACACTGACCAGCTTTCGCAGCAGCTTGGGAATTCCAAGCTGCCCTTCAACACCACCGGCAAGTCCAGAAAAATCCATGTTATGGTCAGTCCTTAGACTGCTGTCCATGTCAAGAAACTGTTTTAGACTTGGCCGTCCCGGTCTACTCAACAACACCATGTTCGACTGGCCTGATTTCCCACATGTTCCAGAGTCTCCTTGATGACATCACCTGGCTCAGGCGGTGCGAGTCACTCGCTCCCAAGAATTTCTATTGGGGTCATACAAGATTCTGTGATCTCATTCAACCTAGTAGTTCCTAGGTTGAAGGAGAAATTCGAGGGGTCCTTGCTGTTGAGGATCAGTTTAGCTCCAAAGACCTGCAAACATGTGCAGAGGTCTCCAGAGCTGTCTCCGCTGAGTATCCAAGGTTACTGACGACCCGCTGGCACTAGTTGCGCTGTGTCAATGTGAGGGAAAAATCGAGGTGACTGACCAGACTTTTGTGACATGATCCCACCAGCACATTGGGTGAGTCATCGTTCGCTTCCCAGCTGGATAAGATCAGCTTCGCGCCCCCCTGAATACATTGCGAGGAGAAGCTCTGCACGGAAATTTTAAGGCTTACCAGGCTTACCATGTCTCTTACCCAGCATGAATGTGTCCAAGCTTACAAGTCAGTAAATAGGACATGTTCAGAATCTTTATATATAGAAGCATGTTTGCTGACAATTTGATGTGCCAGACGTGTCTTCCATCATTGCAGTCAGCCACCTTCAACTCACAATGACTGCAGACAGCCCCCGTCCTGGTTGGTCATAGATCGGCCACAGCTGCTCTTTCTTGCAAAGGCCGCAGTTCAGGAGCGCCTTCTCCACCAGCTTAGCGTCCCCCACGGCATTCTTCAGGTCTCCGTCGTTGGCGATGAGCACTACATACCTCGCTGGTGGATGGGATTTGGGATGTTCACCCATCAGTGGTGGGTGGAGTAAAATCCTGGCTCTTGGACATCTACGCCCAGCATCATTGCTATACATTCCGGTAAGCGAACAAGGATGGCTCATCCAAAGTGAGTGATTGAAAGCAAGGATGTCAGGTCTAAAGTGTTTGAAAGATTCAAAAGTATCCCGGCAAGAGACCCCAAACAGTGTGTCCAACTACCTTAAGAACCTCGAATGTGTGTCACCACACTGTGGGGGGGGCAAGAAGATTCGCCTGGCGAAGCGCTTTTATGTTCACCCACTTCGGTCGCACGGACGCCAAAGCTTCGAACGGTTTGGTTCCGCCCCGTCCACACCGAGATGCCAAGAGGACATGGTCAAACGAAGACGACCGTGGCCACATCAATGTGTCTAAACCAGCTGAAAGTGTAACGAGTTAGGGAAGTGTGATGTTTCTTTTTAGACCTTCGCATGTGCCAAGCTGAAACTTGGCGTCGGCTGTCATCATTGCAGAAGACTTCAGAAGACTTCTAACTCACAAACTTAAGACTGACTGGGACATGTTCCTATCACTTTCGGGATCAATGGGGGAACAACTGATCGGGATCAATGGGGGAACAACTGAGAGCCGGAAAAATCTGAAAAATACAACCTGAAATACCCAATACATGGAAGGCGTCGGAACGAGCAGCTCGTTCAAGCAGCTCTTCTCTCTGGGCCTACAACCCTCCAAAAACGGTTGATACTGACTGCATCATGTAGAATAGGGAGACCCCTGAAGAACCCCCTAAACGGTTCAGAAAATAGACCACCATCCATTGGTTGGGATCCTCCCCACTAAAATACACATCAATATCATATAAGAACATGTAAGAAGAATAGACAACATGAAACTTTAATACTTTGGCAAACGGTCCTTTGTATCATGATATGCCCGAACCTACACAGACACCGCACCAATTCAGGGACATCACGTCCTTAGCCCTTCTTCCAAGTGGGGACCTAAAGGAACGAGTTCGTTCGTCGCGGCTCCAAACAGCCCTAAAACAGATTCTCAAAGCCTCCGCTACTTCATTCAGCCTCCTCTCAACTTGCATCTTCTCCACCTTTCACTCCACCTCTACTCCATCAGGCCCCCCCCAACACCCCTCTCCCAGCAGCTGCTTACTTTTTGGTCCAACGACGTAGCTTCAAGGCCTCTGATCTTTCAAGGCCCGACACCCGCAGCAGCGAGATCGTCCGTTTGATCATCGAACCCATTTCGGTTTGTTCGACGTCTCTGCAGGTGCTCAACACCTGAAAACCCCTAACGTCCGCAGACCACACTTGAGACTCGACCGATTTCCGCTTGCACGCATCATGGCGTTCGTCACCAAAAGATCTAATAGATTGAATATGATTGAATGAATTACTTGATATTTGTTTACTCGAAGATCTATATTATGATACTATAATACGTTAAATTCTACTTCTGAACAGTGAGGAAATCGAGAGTCAACCCCAAAGCCGCCTGTTTTTCCAGACGTATGCCCCATGTTCTTCGCCCATGATTCCTGAGGCTATGAATGGCCCGCTCTCTTCTCTGTCCGCATCTTGAGTCGCAATCAAACTCCAGGGCTTCTCACTACCTCCATCCTCATGGCATCACTCATGAAACATCCCCATCTTAAACGATTGGAAGGGCGACATCTCAGGAGTTCCTTAGTCTGGAAGCTCACGAGCTCAGACTCAGCAACCTCAGCTTCGGATCCAGCACTAGAATTACCCAAGTCCAGCTAAATGTCCAAAATGAAGACCAAACCCGCAGAAACCTTGAAGGTCGTACATGAACGGCCTCAAACGCAACGGAACATCTGAACGACACCAAGCAAAGAAGAAAACACCTGAAAACAGCCGCACACACACACACACATTCAATACCATACATCATTAAATACATCCTACATACATCACAAGAACCATCAAATCGACCCTTTGAGTGCCAAAAGAACTCTTTGAGTTGCTCGTCATCCAAGTCGGCGATCCATCCCTCACCTCAGCCGGACGCCGCAGCCGTCGTTCGCTCGGCCGTCGCTCGGCGGGAGATCCACGCGGGTGATTCGGAATCTTTGGAAGAGAAGACTTGAAAAGACATGGAGATTGAGAGAACCAAGACGGTCAGAAAAATGGAAAACATCACGAAACGTCTATAAAATGTCGGATTCTCGACATGATTGAACAGCCACTGGAAAGTGTCTTAAAAGGTCTGGGAAGAAAAAAACCTTCGAAAACAAGTTTCCTGAGAACCCCAGATAACAAGAAATTCAAGGCGCATCATATGGCTTTGCAATCCGAAAGGTCTCAACAGGTGCCAGGACACACCCTCGAAAGTGTCCAAGCACCTCCACTTGGTTCCCCCTCTCCTCCAAACTCTGTTTGCAAAGGAAACAACTCTTTCAACCATCCATCCCATCCCATTGGTATTGAAATCAAATAGGATAGAGGGTGTACAAATCCCACCCTGAAACAGCGCGTTGTGTTTACCACCAAAACCAAATGGAATCCTCTGAGAATCGGACCTCCTTCCACGGTCAAGTTGGACAGGTTCTGCTTTTGCTTCATGATTTCGCCCAACTTCTCCTCGAAGGTGCCCTGGCCAAATGATCCACCTTCAAAGCCTTTCGTTTAGTCGATGTATTGGTGAGTTTCCTCAGCTTTTGAGTGGTTGGCTTCAGAACGCAGGGACTGGGCGGTTTCATGCCCGGAAGGCGTGCTTGACCACATGCCGCAGATCATCACGAAGACACTGCTGCATGAACCCCCTTGCCAAGCACGCAAAGCATGCAAAGCCACTCTAATTAGGCCTTAAATGTGCATGTGGACCCTCACTTCTTCGCCCTCACTCCACATCCCTATACACCGATGTGTTCCCACTTGGGACCTCCGATCCAACGCTTTTAAAAACAAAACGAAAGGCCACACCACCCGTGGCACAGACACCCCGGTGGCCGCGCGCTTTCACATCCGCACGGCGCGCGTCCGTACGAAGCCACCGCCTTGCTCACCAGCCGATGGACCATCACCGTCTTCGTCTGACCGATGCGATGAGCGCGGTCGGTGGCCTCGGAAGCGACGGCGGTGACACGAAGCGAAAGAGGGCATGGTGGAGGTGACGCGTCAAAGACGTCAAACACATCAAAGACGGTGTGTGTATATATATATATATATACAATATATATTCAATATGTTCATATAGAAGAGGCGGACGATGCATGGCATGTCTCCATTTGGCGTACACTGCTCGTTCGCTTCTTACTGCGGCTGAAGGGATGTAGGAAGGTCCGAGTCTGCCAAGGTTTTTATGGTTCGCCAGCAGTGAAGCCGACAGACCTCTTCCTTTGCAACATCACCTCAAGTGCAGAGAAGATCCTCCTGAAGGGGAGGAATTTTTCCCTTCCAAAGAAGGCTGCTATCGGAAAGCTGGAAGACGGGTCATGGGCGACTACTCGCCTAAAAGAGTACCCGGAGCACTTTTGCATGCTCCTTTCCGAGCTGCTCCTTGCTAGCCAACCGGCCCCTGCACAGGGTGAAGACTTGCCGGACAGTTTTCTCACTGCTTGTGCAGAGCTGACTAGAAGCTTTGATGCTTCAGCAGCAATGGGGGCTGATTTCTGTGGAAGGGAAATCCGGCCTTTAATTAGTAATTGAATGCACGCTGCGGCCACGAACAGAGTTATAGGCGAGCGCAAGAGTCAAAATTATATATATATATATGTATAGTTTTTTTGGTAGGTTCTTGGTGTATGCTTGAAGCCGGTTCTTGAGGCAAGTGAAAGTCCCAAGAACTCCGTTAAGAATCCAACAACTCACCCAAAGGCTGGACCCAAGTTTCCGGACATCATATCCACCACCCCCAGCCACGCCCGGTTGCACCCTGCTTGTTGGAACACACCCCCACTCCCAGCGGCCAAAAGGCCTGATTCTCCTTGGCCGGGTTGTATTGCCGATCGAAGTGAATGACGTGGGACGCAGCCGTCAAGGTCAGGCCCACTCCGCCTGCCTGGCAGAGCGTCCAGGTGAGAAGAACGGCCACTTCAAGTCAATGCGGGGTCCTATAAGGTCTTGAGGTTGTTTGGCCAGAAGGATGAGGACTGAGGACTGTTTGTTGTTTTGGGGCGGGTTGTGAAAGATCCCAGTTCCAACAAGTTCGCGGAGGATCCCTCACCGCTGTTCCCTCAGCAAGATGCACCTGCGCTAGAGACATGATGAGACACCCTGGCCAAGTGACCCCATGGACGCTTCAACACATCTGAATGGTCTCTACAAGACCCGTGGTACATTTTGTAAGGAGTCCTCCAATGAAGCAACATAAGGACATCACCTCCCTACAAGCCTTTGTGAAGGAGATCTTCGGACCTTCGATGACCTTCCAGACATCGACGTGGCAGGCCGTCGATCGGCCCTTCTCACCCCACCGGTCAAGCGCGGTCCGCGGTTCCAACGGCCGCCTGCAGGGACAGCAGCAGCACGGAACTGGCGGGATCCGTCTGGAAGGAATTCATCACGGCCTGGGAGTTCAAACCACGAAGCCAGTGGCGCAAGTCGCCTCCTTTCTGAGTCTATACTTTACCAATCTGTACCACAAGACTCGGTCTTTTCTGATCGCCGCCGAGTTTCACATTCAAATGGACGTATCTTCCAAAAAACTATGTTGCCATTTGGATTATATAGTTTCCCGGTGTTTCACTGTACCACCACCCATATTCACCACAACCGGCCTCGCGCTGGTCCTTGCCCATGCTGCCCACGATCTTCAGCACTTTGCAGTTGAAGCCGTCGGTGATCTGCTTGGAGAGCATCTCCAGGGCGGTCAAGGACGTGCTAAAGATGAGGACCTTCTCATTGCTCTCCAAGATGCTCCGCAGCAGCTCCTACTCTGGGAAGAAGATCAGATCTGCTCAATCAAACTGAGTTCTTCTGTTTTTTTAAACGAGCGTGAAAAGAAACTACAAGTAGTTCCCGGGCAAGCCGGCGGCGGAAGTTTCCTATAAGAAGAAATTGACCTATAGGAGTGTCCACGTTCTCTCCACCATGCGTGTCCCTCGTGTCACTCACTGAGCCAAACGCATGCGCTCCGGACTTTTGACACACACACACACAGCGCCACCTGTGCAAGGTCTGTGCTCCCTGCAGGATCAGCAGCTCACAACAGCGCACTGGGTTGTGTCTATGCCAAAGCAAGATCACCAGCCCACACCGGCGTGCTGAAGCAACTGGGCATCTGCAAGCGAAAGTTAAGTGCAGCTGGTGCGGGCACGCGAAGTGGGTGGTGTTTTCAAAGTCAAAATCATGTCTTCATTGTCCAGCTTGCCAAATACTCCGCGTACTTTACAGTTGTACTACAAAGTCGCCAGTTCTCATTTTCCAGCTCCCCAGATACTCAGCAGCGAGAGATGACTCACCAGCGAGAGATACGTCAGCAGTGAGAGACGACCCAGCCGCAAGAGATGACTCTGCAGCGAGAGATGGCTCAGCAGCGAGAGATGACTGTGCAGTGAGAGATGACTCAGCAGTGAGACAGGACTCAGCAGCGAGAGATGACTTAGCAGCGAGAGATGCCTCATCCGCATACTAAAGTTGTACTACAAAGTCGCCAGTTCTCATGGTCCAGCTTGCCAGATACTCCGCGCACGACAGTTGCACTACAATGTCGCCAGTTCTCAGCTTCCAGCTCACACATTGCTCCGCGTACTAAAGTTGTCCTACGAAGTCACCAGTTCTCAGCTTCCAGCTCCCCAGATGCTGTGCCTGCCACGAAATCTGCCCATGCAGGTTCACAAAGTGCTGCGCCTGCCACGAAATCTGCACCTCGACGCTCACAAAGTGCTGTGCCTGCGAAGAAATCTGCACATGGAGGTGCACAAAGTGCTGTGCCTGCCACGAAATCTGCACATGGAGGTTCACAAAGTGCTGCACCTGCCACGAAATCTGCACATGGAGCTTGAGCTGGTGTATGAGCGGTGTATGATGAGTGGTGTATGATGAGTGGTGTGTGATCAGTCGTGTATGATGAGTGGTGTATGAGAAGTAGTGTATGATGAGTAGTGTATGAGTCGCCAGTTCTCATCGTCCAGCTTGCCAGATACTCCGCGCGCTAAAGTTGCACTACAAAGTCGCCAGTTCTCAGCTCCCAGCTCTATAGATTGCTCCGCGCACTAAAGTTGTACTAGAAAGTCGCCAGTTCTCACCATCCAGCTCCACAGATACTCCGCGTACTCAAGTTGTACTACAAAGTCGCCAGTTCTCAGCTTCCAGCTCCACAGATACTCCGCGTACTAAAGTTGTACTACAAAGTCGCCAGTTCTCAGCTTCTAGCTGCACAGATAGCTCCGCGTACTAAAGTTGTACTAAAAAGTCGGCAGTTCTCAGCTTCCAGCTCCACAGATACTCCGCGTACTAAAGTTGTACTACAAAGTCGCCAGTTCTCATCGTCCAGCTCGCCACATACTCCGCGTACTAAAGTTGTACTACAAAGTCGCCAGTTCTCAGCTTCCAGCTCCCCAGATGCTCTGCCTGCCACGAAATCTGCACATGGAGGTTCACAAAGTGCTGTGCCTGCCACGAAATCTGCACATGGAGGTTCACAAAGTGCTGTGCCTGCGAAGAAATCTACACATGGAGGTGCACAAAGTGCTGTGCCTGCCACGAAATCTGCACATGGAGGTTCACAAAGTGCTGCACCTGCCACGAAATCTGCACATGGAGGTTCCCAAAGTGCTGTACCTGCCAGGAAAATCTGCACATGGAGGTTCACAAAGCGCTGCACCTGCCACGAAATCTGCACATGGAGGTGCACAAAGTGCTGTGCCTGCCACGAAATCTGCACATGGAGGTTCACAAAGTGCTGCACCTGCCACGAAATCTGCACATGGAGGTTCCCAAAGTGCTGTGCCTGCCAGGAAATCTGCACATGGAGGTACACAAAGTGCTGCACCTGCCACGAAATCTGCACATGGAGGTTCACAAAGTGCTGTGCCTGCCAGGAGGTACACAAAGTGCTGCACCTGCCACGAAATCTGCACATGGAGGTTCACAAAGTGCTGCACCTGCCACGAAATCTGCACTTCAAGAAACAAGTGAAAACTCTAATCCCCATGGACGGACGATTCCGAGCATGATCGGAGAATGATCCGAGACCGTCTCGCACCCGTCGTTCCGCAGACCTTGACTTGCCAGCTTCGGAGCCACCGGTTCCATTGAAAAATACAGCATTTCGTGCGTTCGCTATCTCTCCACAACGCATTTTGTATTGCGCCTGCCACGACATCTGCACATGGAGGTGCACAAAGTGCTGTGCCTGCCACGAAATCTGCACATGGAGGTTCACAAAGTGCTGCACCTGCCATGAAATCTGCACATGGAGGTTCACAAAGTGCTGCACCTGCCACGCAATCTGCACCTGGAGCTGGAGTTGCCTGGAGCTTGAGCTGTTGAAACCAGAGCTGGTGTATGAGCAGTGTATGATGAGTGGTGTATGATGAGTGGTGTATGATGAGTGGTGTATGATGAGTGGTGTGTGATGAGTGGTGTGTGATGAGTGGTGTATGATGAGTGGTGTATGATGAGTGGTGTATGATG